TTATTATTATTATTATTATTATTATTATTATTATTATTATTATTATTATTATTATCACCGGGAACGGGACAACGGGACTTTGCATCGGTCCTTTGCAAAACTTTAGGCTAGAGTTCGAGAAACCGAGACACCTGGGGTCCCGGGGTGGGGGTGACTCCACGAGCGCGTGGAAGTTGAGCGAGGGCGCGGGAAGAGGACGGCTCGGAAGTGGCTTTGGATGGGTGCGAAGCGGACCCTCTCGTGTCGGGGCGTCCCTCGGCTCGGTGCTGCCCAGACACCTACCGCCCCTTGCAGACCTTTGTAAATGCTTAAGTGCGAGAGGCGGGCAGCCAGCGGGCTGGCGTGCGGTGCCCAGGGAGGAGGGTGACTGACCGGCGTCCCCCCCTCTATCGCAGGCTACGAGGGCCCCGGCTCCGTGCTGGTGTCCCCGGTGCCTCACCAGATGCTGCCCTACATGAACGTGGGCACGCTGTCGCGCACCGAGCTGCAGCTGCTCAACCAGCTGCACTGTCGGCGGAAGCGGCGGCACCGCACCATCTTCACCGACGAGCAGCTCGAAGCCCTGGAGAACCTCTTCCAGGAGACCAAGTACCCGGACGTGGGCACCCGGGAGCAGCTGGCCCGGAAGGTGCACCTCCGGGAGGAGAAGGTGGAGGTAGGCGCGCGGGTGGGGTGGGGAGGGGGAGTCGAACGGTCCTCCCCTGCGGGCGCTCTGTGCCCTGGTCCTCCCCGGGCCGCTCCTGAGAGCATCCCGGAGGCCGCGGCCCGGAGGAGGCTGCCGGAGGGCGCTTTAGGCCCAGGAAGTGCAGTGGGAAGGCGGAAGCGCGGCGGGTGTTTCCCTCCTCCCGTTGCCTCCCCCCGCCCCCCTCCCCGAGAGCGGCGACCGCTTGCAGTTTCACCCAGGCCGTGCCGAGACGCCACGGCCAGGCTGTCCCCCGGCCGCGAGGGGCCACCCGGGTGCCCTGGCGATGGCGGTCGCCGCTGACTGTCGGTGTCGCTCCCTTGCGCAACAGGTCTGGTTTAAGAACCGCCGGGCCAAATGGAGACGGCAGAAGCGGTCCTCCTCGGAGGAGTCGGAAAACGCCGAGAAGTGGAACAAGGCGTCCTCGAAAGCCTCTCCCGAGAAGAGGGAAGAGGAAGGTAAAAGCGATTTGGACTCGGACAGCTGACGGCCGCGGGCCGGCTGGGGCGCTTGCCTGACGCCAGGACTTGCACAGACAGACGATGCTACTTGCACACGCCCTGCCTTGCGGGAGGGAGGGGGTCGAGAAAGCAGCGAGGAGCTAGCTGTAAATAATGTACAGGCCCGGGACCGACCGCCGCCGGGGACCGGTGCGCGGGGACCGCAGCCCCGCCGCCCCGGGCTGCCAGCCTGAGCCGCGTCCCCCACCGTAGTATTTATAGTTAAGTTAACGGTGACAATACAATAAAGTGACGGAGACACAGACCGGCCATGTTGTGTTTGGTACCCTAGTGAGGCCTAGAGAAGAAACGTGTTTAGTTGCGTCGAGGAAGGCAGTTAGAGGCAGCGAAGTAGGGGTGGGAGGCCCGCAGTTGGTCGCCTTGGGCATCGTGGGTCCACGGGGAAGGGTGCAGAGTGGCGGGCCCAGGGTTTTTAAGGCGTCGCCTCTTCCGTCGTGCCTTCCTTCCTTGACCCTTCCTCGGAGTCCCCTCCCAGACACTCACTTGGGGACTTTGCTTTCAACCCCGCCCCCCTCATCAGACCTAATCATGAATTAAATTCCTGTGCAAAAAGGCAGCTGGGATGAGATCTCCCAGGGTGTTGGTGCTTTCATTCTGGCTGTCACCTCCCCAGGGGGCTGTCCCTTCCTCCCTGTGAGCCTAGGGCGTTTGTTTCCACTCCACAGACCTGGTGCTTGCACCGTCCTGAGTACCTCTGAGAGCTGTGTGCTGGAGCGCCCGCCCGCGGGGTGCTTAATTTGGACCACGATAGGTTTCTCTGAGTTTTCCAGCTCCTCTCTGGAAGGGCCGGTGGGTCTCTCTTTCTGCCGGCCTTGTAGAGTTCCCTGCCAGAGGATTCCCTTGGAAGTGATTGACTCCTTTCAGCGAAGAAGACTATCTGCCCTCCGCCATCCTCCCCTGAAGGAAGGAACACTCCCTGCCTATCTACCAGGCCGGTCTGACATTTGCTTTTTCTCTGTAGCAGGGAGGTCACTCCGCCTGCCATCTTCATTCAACAAGGCGGCTTTAATATGTTAAACTCCTAATTGGTTCTACCTTAAATGTGTCTAAGAGGAAGCCAAAGCCTGAGGCCCACTCTTGTGTATGGAGCAATGGGGATGGGGAAGGGGGGCTGGCTTCCCCCTGTGCCATTTTGCATGTTTGGAGCAATATCATAGTGTCAGGGTTGGACACTGTGGCTAGAAACAGCGCAGGAAGAAGACACAGTGATTTATGGGAAATGTATATATTTTTCTCACAGTTTGTAGGATTATAAAGCCAATGTGACTAAAGCCCAGGGGGAAATAACCCCCCCCCCAAAAAAAATGCAATGGAGTGATTTTTTTTTTTTTAAATCTGGGATCTCAGGCTGGCCTTGGATGCCAGATCTCCATGCCTTCACCTTCTCTGCTGGAATCACAGGCATGCCACCAGCTTCAGGTCCTGCTTTATGCAAAAAGAAAGGGATGAGGGTTTGGAAGAGAGATCTGCCTTCCAGACGATCTGTCATTCACACCTAGACTCCACCAGTGTGAGCTGTCTTTGATACTGGCTTCCAGTAAAACAGACACAGCCGTAGGGGATCTGCTTTCCATGGTGGTGAAAGTTTCCAGGTACTAATTCAGAGTGGCACCTGGCACAACAAAATGCATTGTGTGGCTGCATAAGTATTAATTAGTAATAGTAGTAATAAAGTCAGCACGGCCTTTATAATATGACAGAACTAATACTTCAGAGCTCACTTCGTCATCCAGGGTCTTTGTGAGATGGGGCATATTGTCAGCGTTTTTTTTTTTTTTTTTTTTTTTACAAGTGAAGAGGTTTCTGAAAGGTTAAATACTCTTAATTTACATCATGCAATCCTTAAGAAATAAAGGGCATGGTGGTTTTTCACCCAAGTGAATCTGGTCTGTAACTGGAAATATTTCCAGTGGTCACAGTTCTTGTGGGAAACATTCAAAGAACATGGCCAATTCTAGAGGGGTCTTGGAATGGCTTTTAATATGCCTTCACTTTAGATGCCAGGCATCCAGGGTGAGAGGGCACTGACTGCTCTGCACCCCACTTGGTAACAGTTGTGTTGTTGGACGGAGAGGAGACTGCGGGACCATCCATGCAACACTCTAAGGCAGGACAGCATCATTCTATCCTGAGATCCGCTCTCGCATGTATAACAGGCTTCCATGTCTGCCGTCTCCTTGCCGCTGACCTGCCCTCCGACTTGCTGTAAAAGGAAATCCTTTAATTTTAAAGAAAATCTTCATTTTTTTTTCTTGTTTGGGAAGAGCTATATAGCAAGCGCCAGGGAGAGGGGGAATTGAAGGGATCCTCCCCCCCAACACCTGGTGAGAAGTCACCCGTGTGGGGAGGAAGGACCTGGAGCTAGCTGTTCTTGCTTGGCTTTGGGCAGATGTAGGATGGTGAGGGACCCTGCCCCCTCCCCAGCCCCCGTGCCTGTAGACCCCTGTGATGTGTCCTAGCACTCGCCCAGCTCACAGGAAATAAGTATGATAACCGTCTGGAGTGAAGAGGGAAATGTCAGCAAGGCTGGCTTAATTATAGTCTGCCCTCCCTTCTGCATGCCCCAGGCAGCTGTGGGGCTCAAACCTCTGAAGTAGCTGGCTGCTGGGTGTCAGGCAGGGCCAGATGGGGTCACAGGGCAGAGAGTGCTGGGGCCCTGGTAATTTTCTTTGGTGGCACTTTGAATCACAGTGGAAAGTCCTGCATATATGTGGGCAAGGTGTGGGCCCGGTGGCTTGTCTCAGTGGTTTCCACCTCACACTCTGCATCCTCCCTCTTTCGAAGCCGAGCAAATGGAAGCATGGAGCTAACATCCAGGGCCGTGATTGGGACTATGGTCTGCAGATCTCCTTGTCCTTGAGTTCCGATAAATCAAGATGCCTTGAAGAACCTCACTTGTTCTTTTGGACCGTGGTGTAATCTAAACAGAAGTTCACCAATAATGAATGACTGTGGGGACACAGGAATTAATGTACTGTGCCATATAGTCCAGTAAAGAACAACAGTAATAAGCAGTTCCCTAAAAACAGTATAGCATTTTCTGTATTGCAACCCTTCCACACACATCTCAGGCCCATTTTAGCCTACTTTTTATTTTTTACTTTTTGAGATAGAATTTTACTTTATAGCCCCGGCTATCTTGGAACTTATTATGTAGACCCGCCTGTCTTATAATGTATAGATATCTGCCTGCCTCTTCCGCGGGGGTTAAAATATTTGCCTCCATGTCTGATGACTTTTTTTGCAGGTAGGAGTTTGGAGGCTTGGGGAGGTTGAACAGTAAGAGGCAGAGCAGGCACACATGGCTACTTTAGTGAATTCCCACACAACCACATCATTGCTTGTGATGAGGGATAGTGTATTATTTTCTGGGTATCCCTGGACCATGGAAGGCCCTGGTCAGAAAGAATTGGGGGATAAGAGGTGAATGTGTATATATTGAAAGGGAGAAAGGTTGAGCGCCTACAGATTTTCATCTTTTTTTCCTAGAGAATGTGTAACCGTTCTTTGTAGGTACCAGGACAGGGTTGGGGGCGCGGAGGAGTTTTTCGAAGCTACTGTTGATCAAGCAGTATCCAGGGAGGGTGTGTTTTAATTACAGCTCTTTGATTAGCATATCAAAGTTTAATTGACACTTGAACTTTGAACCCAGAGGATTTGTTTTGCTTTTCTGGGGACAGGATGACCTTAAACTGTGGCAGTCCTACCATAACCTGTTGAGTGCTGGGGTTAGATGCATGAGCCACCATGTCCTGCTAGAATGTTATTTTAATATATGTGTGTTTGTGTGTATGCATGAGTATGCATGAAATAGAAACAGACAGATTCTTGTTCTACTTCATTGCATGGCGGCTGTTGAGGACCAGGAGGTAGGAGTGACAGGGAGATATTTTTCTACATAGTGGACAGCTGGGTGACTGGACCTTAAAACCACCCTGGCCCAAGCCTCTATCAGAATGAGTCCTCATCCTCACCCGGTAACCTGTGGCAGGTTAAGCTGAGTGTCTGTCGGCTGCTTTCCCCACCTGCAAAATGGGTCATAGGAGAGGACTTGAGATAAAGGAAGGGACCCAGCTGAGCGTCTGACACGTTTGTTCATTATCCCTGGCTTTGAAAACATTGTCTGACCAGCTGATCAATGTCCCGATTAAGCAGATTAAAGAATGCCCCTTGTTTTTAATTGTTGTTGGTTTAGGAGTCTGCTGTGCTGTGATGGCCTGGATTTAGAAACATCTGCTGAGATGTAAAAGCTCTCATTCTTTTCAAAGCCCCGGGATTTAGAGTGTAGAAGACTATTTGCCTAGGGTTTGGATTTGATTTCCAAGTTTTGTGAAATGACCTTGAAGTTTTTTTGAAAGTAAAACCAAAACAAACCCCAGCTGCTAGTGCAGAGACCCTTGAACGTCCTGGAAGAAGGAGATCTGGGTTGTTTGGCAGTGAGGCCTTCCCCCAGTGCCTGTCCCTAGAGTCACCTGATCGCTTATGGTTTGCCTGTAAATCTGAGGAAAATAAAAGAGCTTCATCTTTGCCGTCTGAGGGACCCACAGAACCAGCAGGGTGAATTGTGGCTTATTATGACATCCAAAAGTGGGTCCATAAGTTTTGGGTTCCCAAAGTGTCTGTCTGTTCCCACGTGTGCAGCAGCCAAGGAAAGCATCATCAAGGGACGGACTTAGGAGGCCTTCATCCATTCTCGCCTTTCTCTGAGAGCCCTGCTTAGAACTGTGTTTCCCTAATTTGAGGTCCTCAAAGCCCGTTGGCCGTATCTAGCAGTCAGTTTTAAGCGCATCAACTGCGCGCTGGCCAACACCTTCCCTTGCGCTCCGGAGCCCCCCAGAAGCTGATTTATAGAAGCTGTGATTAGTGGGGTAATTTTAGCCTCCATGCAGAGTTTCAAAGCATCCGTGTCATTTCCTCATTGCCACAGTGCAGTGTTGGCCGGTGCTCTCCTCCTCCCGCCAACCTACCAGGCTCACCCCAGCAAAAGCTATGCTGCAGGAGACATGCTCCCAGACCCCCAGAACTGGTACATGGGAACTGGGCTTAAGTTTTCTCTTTTGGAGGGCTGGGGTGGAAATATTTTTAAAATATTTCTTTTCCTCCTCCTCCTCTTCTTTTTCTGTTTTGTTCTGTTTTAAACAAAAAGCTCCACGTTGTCCAGTTTCAAGCACACAGTTAT